CGAGCCTAACAGAAGGTGATGTAGTCACGTGGTGCCAGGGTTAGAAAGTAGAAGAAAGGCAGAAGACTGGCCGAGCAGGCAACCAGTCCATGGGCGGAGCCTTGAATTGAAAAACGCACATTCACCGCAAGGTGAAGTGTGCCCACTTAGTCCCCAAGCCTGCTGGAAGATGAAGAATGAATCTTGTAGCAGGGTCAAAGAAAAAGAAGTCTGAAAGCATGCCGACGTCATCTGACATGCGCGTATCAAGACCCTAGACGTGCTGCCCAAGATCAGCACCCTGATCCGAACAGCATGGAGCAGCTTGATAGCACACCAATGAGGCATAGCAAGATCCGACCATTGAGGGAGTCCCCGACGTAGCTGGCGATGTTCGAGCACCGAGGAGTCCCTAGCGTAGCTGGTGATGTCCAAGCACCGATGAGTCCCCGGCGTAGCTGGCGATGTCCGAGCACCGAAGTAGTCCCCGACGTAGTTGGCGATGTCCGAGCACCGAGGAGTTCCCGGTGTTTCTAGCGATGTTCGAGCACCGGGAGTCCCCGGCGTAGCTGGCAATGTCCGAGCACCGAGGAATTCCCGGCGTAGCTAGAAATGTCCGAGCACCGAGGAGTTCCCGGCGTAGCTGGCAATGTTCGAGCACCGAGGAGTCCCCGGCATAGCTGGCAATGTGCGAGCACCGAGGAGTCCCCGGCGTAGCTGGCGATGTCCGAGCACCGAGGAGTCCCCGATGTAGCTAGCGATATCCGAGCGTCGAGGAGTCCCTGACGTAGCTGGCGATGTCTGAGCACCGAGGAGTCCCCGGTGTAGCTGGCGATGTTCGTAAGGTGAAGTGTGCCCACTTAGTCCCCAAGCATGAAGAATCCGAGCGCCGAGGAGTAATCGACGTAGCTGGCGATGTTCGAGCACCGAGGAGTCCCCGACGTATCTGGCGATGTCCAAGCACCAAGGAGCCCCTGACATAGCTGGCGATGAAGCACGAGCGACGAACAGTCTGGTCAACTGGTCGGTGGTGAAGTGAGCATTGAGTAGAAGCGACCGGTGAACAGTCCGATCAATTGGTTGGCGACGAAGTCTATGAACCTAGCGGTCCAACCAGTTGATCGGTGGAGAAGTCCGAGCACCAGGTGGTCCGATCACCAGGACGATGATCCTGCAATATAAATATGTAGAACGAGTAGTACATGATGTAAAAATATATGAACTCCGGAGAAAAATCAGCATTGGCGATGAAATAGTGTATGTAGCTCGGCGATCAGTTGGTGTGAAGATGTATTTATATTTAATATAAACTGCCCGAACAGTTAGTGTGTAGTTGAGTCTCTAGCCCTAGCTAGCCCGTTAACCATAACGCGAAGCGCGGAGCCCGTGTGCGTGTAGGAAGAACAAAGCGTCGCTAAGGAGCCGCTGTCGACCACCCATAACACAGAGGGTAGACGCTCGTGCACGTGTAGGGAGGAGCCAGAGACAGGGCCGTCTCTGGGGACATCCGAGCGTCAACATGACTGTTCGGGGGTTTAGAAAATCGTTTGGAGAGCAAACATAGAGAAAAAAGCTCGGAGAAACATTATGGTGATATGTGAAGATTGGAGAATATTTAGAAAAATATTAAAGCGTGACTTAGCTTTAGACAGAATGTCTGGTCGGCGGCGTATGGCATTATCTGGTCGGCGACGCAGGCAGCTCGCTTAGCGGCTCGCTTGACGGCTGGAACGAAGTTGATCTCGTGTTGGAGTAGGACAGACGTAGTCGGAGCTTGGCGGTGTAAATCCACGTACGAAGACGTGCGCCGTGGTTGTCGAAGGATGTCGACGCGATCTATCGAGTTGCCACGAAGGATGTTGATCTTGAGTTACGCCATCTGGTTCGCCAGGGATCAGCGCGCACGAGCCCCTACCTGGCGCGCCAACAATCCTCTTCTAAAGACCATGGGGCAGAGTTGCGTCACGTCAGGGGCAAGTCCTCCTGCCATCCGCCTTCCTGTGGGTGGGAGAACTGCCCATCCACGGTGCCCTGATGGCGATGAGGTGCCTCCCGGGCGGCCGGTGGTGGATGCCTAGCGGACCGGACATCGCCTGCATCAGTAGGCCGAAGGAAAGAAGGGGGATCTTAAGCCAGGCGCGAGGGATATCCCTCGTGGCCCCCCGCTTGCAGTAGATCCGTGCAGGATCTGTCGGGCCGGGACCCCGAGATCTGTTCCCAGAAGCCCTGGCGGAGGGGGCTCGTTGCCCGTTGGCACGGCCTTATGGAGTGGACGAAGCTCGTCGTAGCAATCGGCGACATAGGCTAGGCTCCCAAAGTTGAGGACCTGGCCTAGAGCGAAGACGCCGACCACGACGGAGAACTCGCTAGGGAAGCGGACGCCACCACTTGGGGCGTTGCCGCTTGCTCCAGAGACGAGGCGGGTGGCTCCAGCCACCGTAGAGCTAGAATCGCACTTGATGCTGCCCCCTACCTAGCACGCCAACTGTCGCAGGGTCAGAACCACGGCAAGCATGTTGTTCGAGTTGGTGTCAGAGTACGTGTCTTCGGTGCCTTGGTTGGACTCAAGAACACAAGAATCACAGAGAGGACACAACGGTTTATCCTGGTTCAGGCCAATCAGTGCCCAACGTGCAGCAGCTGATCATCCTTATACTCAAAAGCAGCCAAAATCGAGGGGTTACAACAGGGTTGTAGAGATATTTGGTAGGGGGTTAGCTCAGTGCTAATCCTAAGGTTGCCTCACTACCGGTGGTGCCTTCCCCTCGTCAGAGAGGAGGAAGACGACGGGATCTGGTGGAGCTCTCGGTGCCCCTCCGTGGGTTTCCTTGCTCTCGGTGCTGAGTGGAGGCCAAGGAATGGAATGGAGTCGAATGATCTGTCTGCTCCCCCCTAGGTCCGACCTTATCCCTTATATAACGAGATAGGTTGGGTACATGATGGTTTGGGGGAACTAGTCTACGGTCTACATGCGCTAGTCTAGGAGGGCCTTGCAGCGACGCGCTGTGGACCGTGGCGGTGTTGTGGAGCCAAACAAGCCTTGGGCATCGTCCAGCTGCTTTGTTCTGACACTCTGTGTGTCAGACTGTGTCGGCTTGGACCGGCCTCCCCCAGGTGGACCTTCTAGAGTCTTCTTGGCGGTGAGGAAGGTCGGTTCTAGGGGCTGACACGCAGGACCGGGAGCATCCGAGCCCCTAGAGACTGCTGGGAAGCTTTGTCTTCTTGTGTCTCGCCCCGTGCATGACCTTGTCGGAAAAGTGGCTAGCAATGCCGTGCCCAAGGGGCAGTGCCGGAGAGCCCCCGAGCCTCGGTAGCTCAGGGCTTGTCTTCTTGCGCCCGGGCCTTGGCTGACGTCATTGGTGGGTCAGGAGCCAAGGGCCAGGCCAAAGTGTCGTTGTAGATCAGGAGCCTAGGGGCTCGGGCAAGCCACCGAGCCCCAAGCGAAGGTCACAGCGGAGTCAGGCTTAGTCGGGTTTCTTCTCAGAGGATGCGCGTGAGCGTACCTGATGGGTATAGCCCCCGAGCCCCCGGGCGATCCTAGAGGGGTCGGTCGGGGGGGGGGGGTCTTCCTCATTCAAGAACCATTGGACCCGAGGCTTAACATACCCATATGTTAGAATCTCGTCAGCGGGCATCACAACTGCCTCGGTGCAAAGGTCATGGTAAATCAATCTTTCCCGAGACGATTGAAATGCCCACCTCGATAAATCAAATAAAAAAAGAAAAATCGGTGGACAGGCCCGCTGAGGAGGAGGACGCGCCTCTCCCGCTGGACACCGTCGCCGGAGGAGGACGCGTCGAGGAGGGCGCTTCCTCACGCAAGAAGTCGCTGGCCGCCACCTCCTCAGGTCGGATCTCGCCGAGCGCCTCACCTACTCTCGCGCCCGCACCGCTGCCTCGCCGTGGGAGGAGCTCGGGAGAGGAGCCGAGGAGGGGCCTGAGAGGGAGGGACGCCGCCGTGCTCAAGTTTTGCATGGTCAGAGAGAGGGGGTGAGAACGAGAGAAACCCTAGAGTGTTGTATATATATAATACTTGAGTGCTCTATCGGGCTGAACTGGGCCTTGGTTGTGATTTCGGCCTGTTAACGGAGGCCCTCCAGTTTCCTAAAAAAACTAGGGTGTCACGACTAATCAGACTACTTGTAAATAGTGGCTGTGATTTTAAATATATATGACGTTTAGGATAAGCCAATCATTTCAAAAATGAACTAGTAATTAGCTTGTCCTAAACATCATATATATTTACAAAGGGAGGGAGCATCATACAATGCAACAAACAATATCACATACACATGTCAAATATACTTATATGTAAAGGTCGTGGATACCAAGTATTTACAACATTTGATAGAGTAAAAATTGAACATTCAGGTCAGATCCAACAAAAAACTCATAACTAGATGTTAGAATTCATAGTATGTGCATGTTACACAAAATTATCAACCAAGGACTGGAGCTTAAGATTTTATTAAAAAAAACTTTTTTTCCAAAAGGACAGCAAAAGCTTTACTACAACTAGGAGAAAATAAAACACAAAGTACCAGCCCAATTATTTGAGTGGAAACCAGGCCCAAAAACCACACAACTAGGAAATTTTGATTAAAAAAACTCTACAAGAAAAAATATACTGGAAAGGAAAATTACAACTGATAAAGGCAAAGTAATGTATGGGATGGGATCGAATGGAATGGATAATATCATAAAGGAGCAACAGTGATGTAGAAGTCAAATAGTAAAAACATCAGATTGGTTAGCATTCATGTCCCACTTGCCTTTGCTTCTATCTGACAATGTTAAAAGTTCACTTCATTTACAGTGCAAGTTTCCTAAATTTCAATCTGCTGAAATCGCAGGTTAAGGTTCTTCATACTTAAATGGCAGAATTTGAAACAGGATTTTGAGCATTTGCAAGACTTGCTTCCAAAAGTTTCAAGCTAACTGGTACTCCCTCCGGTCGGAAATACATGATGTTTCCGACTGGAGGCTTGAACAAGCAGCAAGCAATCCTGGCTATTGGAACATCAACTATTACTGGTCGGAGGGAGTATATTATATGTAGTATCATCAGGCACGACACCACTGCTGAGCATCTTATCATGCAATTGGAATGCCTCTTGCAGCTTACCATCACGGATGTGTGCATTTATCAGCATGTTATAAGTAACAGTATTTGGACACACATCTAACCTTCTCATATCGTCCAATAACCTCTTAGCACCATCAATGTCTCCACTTCGGCAAAGACTGTGGGTTAGCGCTGTGAAAGTTTTATCATCAGGAATATTGTGATTGGCCAACATCTCTGAGTACAGTTCCAAAGCAAAGGCCACATTGCCAACTTTTGAGAACCCATCAATTAAGGTTGTATAGATTTCTGTATCAGCAACAATTCTTTGTTTGATCATGCTATAATAGAACTTCGAAGCTTCTGTCATCATTTTCAAATTCTTGTACCCTGTAACAAAACTATTGTAGACAGTGACATCTGGTGTTAAACCATCTTTTAACAGAAGAACCAAAAAATGGAGTGCATGAGACATATCCCCCTGTTTGCAAAACATATTTATGAAAGCATTGTATGCAGCAATGTCAGGTTGAATGCCATTGCGCCTCATGTAAATGAGCAGCTTCACTGCGAGATCACAGCAGTTGGTCCTACAGTAACCATCTATAAAACTGGTATATGTTACTATATTGGGGGTTATACCTTTCTCACACATCTGCCGATACATAGCCAATGCAGAGCCCATCATACCAGCTTTCACAAATCCATTAATGATACTATTGTATGTCATTGTGGTTGGAACAAAACCTTCACTTAAAAATCTCTTCAATATTTCATCAACTTCACAAACACGATCGGCCATGCAAAGTCCATTTATTAGAATGTTATATGTATACTCACCGCAAGAAACTCCATTCTGATGCATTTCATTAAGAAGGGCATAGGCCTTGTCAAAAGCTTTCTTCTTGATGTACCCTTTCATCAGAGTTGTGTAAGTGACCTCATTTGGTGGGTATCCTTTACCAGGCATCTCAGAGTATAACTTGAGTGCTTCATCCATGCACCCCTTCTCACAGTACCCCAGCAGCAGGCTGTGGTATGTCGCAATAGAAGGTTTGACTCCTGCTTCCTTCATCTTATCCCATAAGTTGACTGCCTCGTGGAGTTTGCAATGCTTACTGAGCCAATGAATTAGACAACCGTATGTGAAGACATCCGGTACCCCAGTATCAACCACAAGATCAAACAAGGCAATGGCATCCTTCCACTGTTTGTCTCTTAGGAGGCCTTTGATCACCAAATTGAACTCATATGTGCTCGGCAACAATCCCTGCTCTATCATCTGGTGGCATAGCTTATATGCCTCATCTGTCATCCCCTCTGCATCACAACCTTTGATCAGGACCCATATGTCACATTGGTCGGTGTCACACCATCCCTGACAGCCTCATCAAACAAATCTAATGCTTTCCCAATTTCTCCATGCAAGCAACATCCGTGCATCAACGTCGTCGCGAGAATCACATCCATCTTCTTCCCCGTGGCCAGCAGCATCTGATCCTTCAGCCGCAATGCCTCATCCATCCTCCCCACCTTCACAAGCACACCCACCACAGAATTGTACATAAAATCCCGTGGCTTGAGCCCTGCCTCCATCATCTTCCCCAGCACCTGGACTGCCCGGTCTGCATCGCGTAGCTTGCACAAACCTGTGATTGTGATGGCATAAACGCGCTCGTCGGGCTTGACCCCGGCACCGGCCATTTCATCGAACAGCCTGACGGCGTCACCGTGCATCCCTCCCCCGACGCAGGCCCGCATCACGACGTCATCCATCTTAGCATCCGCGTAGTACCCCCTGCACCGCATCTCGTCGAACAGCGTGAGCGCATCCGCAGCCGACGCGCCCCGTGCCGTGGCGACGAGCAGGTCGGTGCGAGACTTGGCGTCCGGGACAACACCCCTCTTGACCATGCGAGAGTATGCGGCCGCGGCGGCCGCGCGGTTGCGGGCGGCGCGGGAGAGGCAGGTGAGGACGTGGCTGAGGAGCGTGACCGCGGCCGGCGAGCCAGCGTCCGCGGCGGAGAGGACGGCGTCGACGAGCTCGTTCGGCGGGAGGCGCGTATCCAGTGCAGCGGCACGGAGCAGATGGAAGGCGTGCGGGCCGTCGGGCGATGAGGCGAGGAGTGCGCGGAGGGAGGAAGCGAGGTCATCGGCGACGCCATGGCCACGGGCAGCGGATGGTCTGGCGAATTGGGTGGAGAGGAGCTGGGCGGCGCTCTGCGGCGGCGGGGCCGGAGAGGAAGGTGCCGCGGTGGAGGTGGCGGCGGCGGCGGCGGTGTTAAGGCTGCGCCGTGGGAACAGTGAGGAGGCGGCGGCGAGGAGCCGTGGTGGGCGCATGGTGGCGCCGAAGGGGAACGTTCAGTTCAGGGTTCTCAGAATTCTGATGGAATAGCGGTTGCATTTCTTCATTCTGGTTCAGTTTCATCAGAACCCAACACTTTTTTACAAATTGCTAAAAAAAATTGAACTTTTTAGAAAGGGGCTCTTGCATTTTTACCTCTGTTTTGTATCGGAATTGTAATTTTGTCCCTGTTTTTTTTACTTTTTAAATTTGTCCCTGCGTCTTTAAAACGAAACACCACTTTGCCTCTATTCTGTCATCCTCCCCTAACGGTGTTAACATTTGTACAAAATGACAGAAATGCCCATATGATTTTGCCCCCGTTTGTTATGTCTATTTGTTATTTTACCCCTGATTTGGAATTAGACATTTATATTGTAATGTTGACAAAAATGATTACATTTGGTCAAATATATTTGGCATAACTTGCAATTATTTTGATTCAGATTTAATATTGAAAAAATATTCAAAATTTTGGCAGCACATTAGCAATATTGTATAATCTTTAACAAGGAGTTCACTGGAACATAGGCGCCATCAACTCAACACAAACTGGTTTTCGAAAAAGAAACACAAATCCATAACACGCAACACTGCCGTATCCATGCAAGCATGCGGATTCGTCTCGAAATAGTCCAATGCGGACCGCATGTAGGCGTCCGTCACGGCCCCCGTGGCGCCGCCCACCAACCGCACGGGGCGCGGTAGAGAGCCAGAGACGACGCCAGCTCCCCCGCGGGGCACGCGGCGCTGGTCAGCACGATAGCGTTGGGCATTGGCAAAGTACCCCGCGGGGAGCGGAACCGCGGCCACCCATCCACCGCGAACAGCAGCTTGCTCCGCCACGACGGCCGTATCCCCAGCGCCCACTCCACACCTAGCCGCCCAGTGCCTCGAACGCGGTGCACGCACGACCCTCCAGCGCCACCGCCGCCTTGACGCGGGTAATGGACGCGGGCGTGAACCGGAATGAGAGGTGCTGGGTCCAGGAGTGGGGAGTCCGAGTCGTCCTCGTCCTCGTCGCCGTCCCCGTCGTCGTCGTCATCGGTGATCTTGGCGAACTCGTGGTGCGGAAAGAACGAGACTACGGCGTGCGCCCCTGAGCCGGACCCGGACAAGACCCGCGGCCGGGCGCCCGCCTGAGACCCGCAGCCGGGCACCGCCGCCGCCCGGCGTGCGCACGACGAAAGGCCGCGGCCGCCCCCCACGCCCCGAAACAGCAGCCGCATTGCGCAGGAGGCCCGAGGCCCGCGCGCCCTACCTCTGGTGCAGAAGCCGCAGCCGAGGTCGGCTACGACCCCGCGCCAGATGCGCCCGTGCCCGATGCAGCCTAGGTCGGATGAGGAAAATCCTAGAGATAAGGACAAGGGCAAGTGTGGTCATTTCGCCTTTCCTTTTTAGATTTGGAATTTTTTTAAATCATTTATTCCCTGCCCATCTAAGGACATCCAGAAACGGATCATTCATTTCAAAATAGCAGGGGTAAAATCACAAAATTGAAAAAGCAGAGATAAAATCACAATCGGAGCACTGGATAGGGGCAAGATCACAATTTTTCCTAAAATGGTGATCGCTAATAATGCATGCTGACTTAATGCCCAAAACTATGTCAGTCTCAGAAACTTCAGCAGAAGTAAATATATTTGTTCCATTAAGTCAATCTCTGTGTGAGTTTCATGTCACTAAGACCCTGTGTGTTGAAAACAGTGTAAATAAATTTTATTATCATGAAACTCATTTCATCCATAAAAGTTGCCATCTCTCTTAATCAATCCCATGAAACTTTTGTCGTATCTCTCTTCATCGATACTATGTAAGATCTACTTATTTAATGCCCAAACTGTTGTTATACCCCATCGAACTGGCCTTAACCATTGGTTGCAAGTACTCCCTCTCTCCGGAAACAAAATACAATTCAAGCATAATACTAAGTCAAAGAATCTTGAGTTTGACAATGTTTATGATATAGATTCTTCCTTGAGTATATTTTTATACTTGCTATACACATTTTATATCATAAATATTGTCAAACTTTAAATAATTTAAGAATAGACCTAAAATTGCATCGCAGGAAGTAGGTTCCAAGTTCCTTAAAGCTCAGATCAACGATTATTACAACAGCCTCATCCAGGCACGCATCAATGGGTCAAATGTCACAATTCCAAATTTCATTCACCATGACAATATAGGCATGTGGGTCACATGTCACAATTCCAAAATTCATTCGCCATGACAATATAGGCATGTGATGGAGGGAAGTATGCACAGAAACAGCTTCTCAATTGAATGGTACACTTTTGTTGATACATACACGATGTCCTCACCAAATGGCCAAACCGTAGTACCCAAAACCTACAAAGTGCGTTGCAATGTGAGAATCATCTTTCGAAAGAGTGCTACCATACCAAAGCAATAAGGTTCAAAAAGTGAACTGGAGACCAACACATGTAAACCCACGGAGAAGTGCAGAAGAACATATCGTACTTAAATAACAACCTTGCTTAAATCAAGTATGGAAAAGTTTCGGCAGATTGCAGCCAGTGTTTGTGCCAGGTTAATGTCACCAAGGCTGACTGGACTTCTCTATGCCTCAGGCCTCAGCAAAGAGATAATGCAGCAAAGGACCCACAACTGCTATACTCAGACTATTACCCAGCATAGCATACCTGCAACAAGAGGATTTCAAAACCTATATGACAACCTGTAATTATAAACACTATTTAGATAGCGACCCATTATTTCTTACAAAACAAATAGATTTATCTCTCATGCTTCTTATATGTACTGCAATTCAAATGCTCTTGTAGTTTACTGAAGCAACTCAGAAGTGTATAATGGAACCTAAACTCACTGTTGCCTAAGGCTTATGCAATCTGGGAAGTTGAAACTTGAAGGGAAGGAATGGAAATTGGCGACCTGAAAAATTATATAAACAACATCAAGAGCCAGAGGAAGGATTTAAACATCTGAAGTGTAAACAGGCAGCTACCTCTTGAGGGGTGAAGAATCGTAGGCCCAACTCCTTCAGGGAAGAAATTTGAAGCTTCTCTTCAGGAACCCATTTGAGGTTCTAGTATTTGAAGTAAGATTATCATTAGGCAAAATCAGACACCATATAAATGAGTGAAATCTAGACAAAATGAGAAGAGTGATCATAATGAATCTTACTTCAGATGTAGCCAACAAGGAGCCTGTCCCCTTCACATAACGATAGTAGCTTTTAGTGAAGCAACAGCACCGCTTAGATTCAGGGTATACAATATCTTGCAAGTAGTCAAGGAGTCAACACAATACCAAAATCAAAGATTACTAGAAGTTAATAAAAATAATAAATGTAACATACCAAACAAATCACATTAATAAACGATAAAAAACTGATAAAGAAGGTAACTCAATACAAGAAAGAATCAAGGATACCCATAGCATTCCCCCACCGCTCAATCAAGTTTACTGGGACCATGTAATCTTGCAAAATTGACTCATTTCGAGTGCCTCCATCAGCCTCCTTGACTACATAAGATACAGTGTCATTACAACTACAAATCAGCTTCTTCAAATAAAATCATGTAAACTTAACAACGATAGACCTTACTGTAAAGGCTGGCAAGTGAGCCTTCCTACTTACCAAGAAAATCTTTTATCGGCTTACAAACTGGCTCCAGCTCTTCTTCAGTTTGGTGGTCACTACCCTGTGATGTACTGTTCAGTGTCAAGCTTAGGCACATAGGTGTCTGGAGCAACTTATTGTTGACCGATGCATTTCGAAACCGCATAGGTTCTCGTTTCGCCTGTTGATAAAAAATCAGCTGCAGTTACATAATTGATCCATACAATCCAGTGGATTTATCACTTATCAGAAAATGCCCCACACAGACACACTTTCTCATTTCTGAAGAGTGTCTTTTTCAACACAAAAAGAAAAGCACCATATTTTATCATAGGCAACAGATTCCGTGGAGACCTAGACATCCCTCAGGTAATAGTCAACTAAGAAGTGATGAGCAAATAAAAATGAAAATAAGGGCTGTGAAATGCCATGACAGTATAACATGTCAAACACTAAAAAGTTCTTACCAAACAAAAGTAGCGAGGTCTAGAATATGGGACACCAAACTGTAAGGGGCTTAGGATGAATTCTTGTGTGTTAAAATTGAGACTTGAAAGGACCTCCAGCAACTGATCATGTGTATCAGACACCTGGCATAAATGAACAAGATATATCCACTGTTGAGAAGTTCGAGTATTAAAACAAAAAAAAAATCCAAATAAAGTTTATACCAACCTCGAATCCAACTACGTTTTCTACAAATAACATTTGTGGAGGATAGCTCATGTCTTGCATGAGGTTGAGAATCTTGATGAATGAAAATGCACGAGCGTCAGCTGAATGCTTCTGAAGTCCTACACAATGGTTGATCCATGAACCAAAACTGAAAAAGAGAATATAGCGCTAGAATATGTATTACTGAGATGGAAACCTTGCCGTGTGTATGGCTGGCATGGAGGAGAAAGAAGCCATGCATGTGCCTTGTATTTGTCTAAGTCACTAGCAGTGAGCGTTTGAATGTTCCCCTGTAGTACAAGAATGATGCATAAACATACAGTAAATAAAACTATAACAGCATAGTTCAGTTCATTCTTCACAAGTCAAGCTAAAATATAAAAACCAATGTATAGGTAGAATGATAATATCCTTCTGATGGTGAGGTACATGACCCAGGTGCATAACTCTACACAAATGAGAAATACAAGTGACCATTGCCCCCTCCATTCCCTTGATCCCTTCAACTGCAAAGTTAATGAAACTCGCCCTAATTTGTCAACTATGGGCAAGCAATGAAGAAGGCATCCTCAATTACAGTCGAGTTAGCAATAGATACTTTCTAATAAAATTGTAAAATGCAAATACACGAACAACATTATGGCTGCAGTACCAAGAAAACAGGGCTAAAAAGTGTCGTGTTATCTGAACATCAGGCAGCATAGCCAAGGTTCT